TGAAGAAAGAATGATTTTACCGTTAGTGAAAGGCGTTTCATTGACTTCAGCTCATATAGTCGGTAATATCGAGGTCAGGGCGTTATGGGATCCCGCACTTCCCATCATCAACTCCCTAGCCTAGCAGTAGACGAAGCACGTGCTGAATGAAGCTGACATCGACAAGCCTATGTGATTCTTCGGGACTCTCGTCATTCCTTCGTTGGACAAGCATTTGGTAAAGACGAGGTGATGGTGGCTAATCAGCTATTTTTTCCTCTAGCCAACCCGGTTATTTTCGATTTTGCAAGCCGGCCGACGTCGGGACCTCAGAAGTACGTATCGATGCCAACGGAAGGAGAATTGCCATTGGACGCCTCTGGGTGCCGTCTTCACCCACATTATTCAGCAAGACTTGTGCTTATGGGCATGTGTGTTTGGGAGACACTGACGCCATAAGTACACTTTGCGGGAGCCCCAGCTTCTATACATCCCCGGGCCGTGGTTCAGTTCCTCCGCATATCGCGGCGCAGGATGATGGCAGAGATGGCGGAATAGAGCACGTCACATGCTTAGGCTGTAGACTGAGATGGGAGCGAGGTGGCGGAGAGGAAACTTGTATCTGTTCACCTACGGGATAACTCATCATTGGATCACCAAGTACGGTCACATTCTTGCGCCGGGAGACGTGAGGTGGGTTGGGAAACATTCATGAAGCATGCGCGTACGAGAGTCTTCAGGCCGTCATTACGCATTGAATGTACCTGAGGTAGATGTCACTCGGAAGGACAAAAATCGAAATTCAACATTTATAGGGCAGCCGTCCAACGACACGGCAGCTGTTTATTACCTTTATACTGGTTCTCATTTCGAAGCGGTTTACCCTCATGTGAAGGTCCGCGAAGCTGCAGCCCGGGACCTTCTACCGATGGAACCAACGCTCGCCCAAACGATGCAAAGTAGCCCACCGTCTTTCGATGCTCGTGTATGAGATACGGCAGTGATGAACGTGGGTAATGAAGTTTGCATATGCAGCCAAAATCCTTGAGATACTTGCCTTCGTTAAAGACATCAATGAACCCGAGGGATATGGTTATCGAGATCGGAATCTGTCGTCAGGGGTAGGTCTACAATTTCGCCCTCTCGATCCTCTCCTGCTCCGCCCACGCCTTATTGATGCGGATGTTCTGCCAAAATCGCCAGGCCCCCAAGGCTGCGGCTGCTGGTGGACATGCCAGGAGTAGCCAGCTCCACCAGACTGGGCTGGAAGCCTGCACATGACGGATAGCATCGCCGATGTCTTTCTTGAGGTCTTCCTTTGATCCGTCGTTCCACAGTACGACGCCCTTGCCCTTGCCTCTGGCCTCGCATCTCCGGGCCTTGAGTCTGACATCCGTCTGACTGAGCACGCGATTCTCGGCATCTTCGCGGCTGAGATGAGGGTCACGGGCCATGAGACGCTGCATCTGTACCTCGGGATCCTTGACCGCAACGACGAAAACGGTGCCGCAGAGGCGATCGAGGCTGCTCTCGAATAACAGGGGAACGTCGAGGAGAACAGCCCAGTGACCAGTGAAGTAGGCGCGGAGGATTGCCTTATACATCTCAGAGCGGACGGCCGGGTGAACGATGCCGTTGAGGACGGCGCGGTCCTTTTTAAGCTCTTCCGTGTCGCCGAAGACGCGCTTGCCGAGGGCGGGCCTGTTGAGTGGTCGTCCTCTGCCGTCGGGCCCAGCCTCGGGCATATCTTCTGAGACCGGGACGAGGAGGTCCGGGGTTGTGGGGAAGAAATGCTTCACGATGGCGGCATATCCATTTGTTCCAGGCTCAACGACTTTCCTGGCGAGGACGTCGGCATCGATGAGGGGAATGGAGTAAGGGGAGTTGGAGAGGATGGAGGAAACGGTTGACTTGCCCGTTGCGATGGATCCAGTTAGACCGATGAAGAGCATTGTGACCGAATGCCCGTTTCAGGGCTTGACTTTGACTTGGGCTATCTTTCCGAGATTGGGGTCCGAGTCCGACTTGAAAAAAATTGTGACGGATTCGATACCAGTGTTGTGGTACTGCGATGTCAGGCGGGGAGCTGAGATGGAAAACGAGTATGAAATCCCGAAGTCGTAAATGGCGATAGTGGGGTGAACTGATGAAGCATTGAGGTCCTTTCAAAGTGAGGAAGGAAGGAGGAAAGCACGGGTCACGTACGTGAGCTTGGGGTAAGACTGCCTAGATGCGTCAGCCAATTGACGTCCACTTCACAGTTTCGCTGCCAAATACAACTGAAAGCCATTGACGAGACTCGGCAATTCGGTAACGACGCAATTGGCTTCAGGTGGTTCAGATACCAGTGTAACCTTGGATTGCGCATTCTGTGGTCTGGAGGCGGAACCTTCACTTTCTTTCCTAGCCAAGGCGGCCGTGTGCTTTCGTTCAGGCCAGTATTGTCGCACCGGAGATGGCCTCGGAAGTTGCTGCCGTCGTCATGCAGCCCAGAGCCAGAGACCAGAGGTAGGCATTTAGCGCGGTCTTAGTGGAGTTGTGGATCTGTGAAACATTCTTCCCCACCGCTGGTGGCTAGGTAATTCTTAGTTTTGCTAATTCCTTTTTGGGGTGAGAATTAATGTTAATGTTTTTCTTGCTCTCCATCTGAGGTATGGACGGGAGGCATTTCGCTGCGAATATTGGATGCTAATCGAGTGAACCGGAAGCTAAAAGTGCACCCTCCAGGCTCACAGCATGGAAGTGGAAGTGCTTGAAGGCAGAAAGGTAATCCACGGATTAGGTGGGCGTGGGATTGACTGCCCTGGCATTTTGTGGAGGCCCGCAGTGCCTGCCTTCTTTTGGTGGCACTCTGCACCGTGACTCTGCACCCTCCTGCACACTGCGCAACATGTCCGGGAATGAAGGACATTGGCACCTGCAAGAGCGGACTGGTGAAGAAATGAGCTGAGGTAAAAGAGGTGCTCGATCGAGGATGTGTACGTAAGCGCTCGGCTCCGAACAGGCTACGAGCAAAAGACGAATAAAACAAGAGAAAAACAACATGACTGGCTATCCGTAAAAGGGACCTATTATTACCTTCCATTGGCAATGTACGTAATACCTTAGCCAATCCAATATGCCGGATGGTGGTAACCTGCATTGCTTTTTGGAACACCGAACAGCGATCCATCATCGATCCGACAAGTCCCTCTTGTTTGATGAACAAACGTGACGAATGGGTTCTGGCTTTATTACTAGCATTGCTCAGTCCAGACTCCTTTGGCTGAGAACGGATACTCGGAACGTCTGGCACGCTGGGCTGGGTTTAGCCAAGCCCGTCACTTTATGCTCAGCTCACCCTGGCCTCTCATCAGACACCACGGTTGATTCCCTTATGATTAAGATTATTGCTGTCATTCTTGGAAATCTCTGCGGATACTTGGCAGCCTTGACAGGAATCTCATTCACATGGTGTCGTTGTTTGGTGCCGCCCTAGCTTGAGCCTTGAGCCTTGAGCAGTTTGTAGGCTTCAGTATCAGGGCCTGTTCTAGTATGTTGGTGGGATCTGTGGGATCCGTCGCTGTCGTCGTCAGATTGGAGCCACTGGATGAGCTTGGAGGCACTGTTACGGATCCATAGGTACTTGAGCCAAGGTCGGCAAGGTGTTGAGAGACTCCGGCCTCCAGCCTCCAGCCTCTCTTCTCTCCACATGCTCATGTCAGCGCGATACGGGACAGTTTTCGTCTCTCATCACCGGCCACAGCTATTTGTCCGTTGGCATTATGAAAGTCATTGTGTGTTACCTGTTCGAGCTCGATCTCATGGCTGAGTAAATAGGAAAAAAGTAATGGGTAACTTTTTGCGGTGGTGAGGGTGGTGGTGGTGGTAGTGGCATGTCTGGTGAGGCATGATCTTTGTCTTTCTGCCCTGCTCTCCACCGCGCTGCGCCGTCGCCGCAGTGTGCACCGGCCAATCTGGGTCTGTCAGGTGTGGAAACCCGAACCCAATGCCAACCTGACGTACTTTCGCCTGGGTACCCTGCATGCCTGCCGACTTTTCAACCTCTGATTGGTCACCTTTGGTCTAAATGTCCCCTCCATCCGCCTTCACTATCTGATCCCGCATCATCTCTTTTGAGCGACTCTGTTGGCCCTTTGGGAACGTGCAATGATTTGGTCAGCGGCAATATTGCAAACTGGCAGGTGGCTTGATTATATCCTTACATTGCCTTGCTTCACTCGGGTACCACTTGCTTCACCCATGGCTCCCGTCATTGTCATACGCACACCGCAACGGATGCCACTGTCCTTGATGATCTTATTACCTTCGCTTGGGTGCCATGTGAGACGGGGGACAGGTCCGCCCCCGTCGGTTGTTGGCATTGGTACACAGCAGCCAGCACTTCTCCATGTCTCCAAGCGCTCCTTTGCTTCTTAACCTTAGCTCAGGTAGGAGGTACCTTGATCCATGATACGTGTACGTGCGTGTGTGTACTTATGTTTTGTGTGTGCTGGGGAAAAGGTAATTGCTTTTCAGATTACTCGCCGGCTGCGTTGTTCTGCCTAGGTTGCACGGCTCCAGGTTGCTAGCTAAGATAATTGAATTCTGCCTATCTATTCTTCTCTCTGTGCTGTTTGAGCAGGCATTGCAGTATTTCAGATCAACCTGAAGGCCTTTGATTTCAAGATTCTGCGTGGCATTCCGTACCGTAGGTACCTAAGGTGCCTTGCCTGCTTTTAGGTACCTTAGATGCCTATCTGAGAGGTAGTTGCTCGATGAACCTTGTCCTCCTCTTCCCAAAGCCCATCAAAACCACCCCGGCCTTGCGCCCTTTGCCAGTCTGTTCGTTTCTCTGCCCGACCATTTCAGGCCCGCGTCGCAAGCGACCATCGTGGCTCGCGGGACACTCGCATCCTCTCCCACTTATACCTCCAGCTCCACCATCACAAATCCCCTCCCCTCCTCCACCCCCCTGTCGCGCGCATTCTCTCACGGCCCAGTCGTCCATACTCACCCCCTCCGCCCCCTCCACCCCCCCCTCCTGCTGCCAACTTGTGCAATCGCCCCCCGATACACGTTGGAAAGCAACACTCATACAGTCCTTCTCAACTTCCCAGGCCCGTCTTTGAATTGCACCATCATAGCCATCCCGCGCTCGTCTTTTAATTGTCATGATGAATTCTTAGGGGGAAAAATCACCCAAAACCACCCTCCGAACTCTATTCCCACCAAGAGAGTTTGGGCCGTGTCAGCCCAATTCTGCCGAATCCCTCCCTCTCCTTGGCACCCTCAAAGCTCAACTGCATCCCTCCAGTCAGCACTCAGTCAGTCCCCTCTGCGCGCCTTGGTCCTTTGTCTGCACTCTGCATTTGCCAGACTCTGAGCCAGTCCACACACACACACACACACACACACACACACACACACACACATACACACATACGCACACACACTGCCTACGTACATACCTACGGATACTCAACCGCCCATACCTTACCAGACCTCTCACGTAAGGTACCCTTCCCATCCCCGTCTTTACCCAACCACGACATAGGGACCGGCACCGCATCAGACACGAGCAACGCAGTCCACACACCCGGTCGGCGACTCGACGCTCACTTGCCTACCTTACCTCACCTCCCTTAGGTTGCTCTGTCTGCGAGTCTGCGCTCACTTCTGCGACTTGCCTTTCAACCTTACTACGCCCAGTCCAGCCTGGCCCCATTCGCCCGCTTAACGCGTCCAGTCGAAACCACCGACGACATCAGCTAAAGCACTCGGCCAACCCTTTCCCCCTTCCAACATCAACCACCACCACCCAACCATCCATTTGGCAACCCATCCTGATCCCGACCGACTGCATCATCTCCTCTTTCGAGTCAACATCGCTTCTCCGCCCGCCATGGACTCCCAGTGGCAGCAGGGCTACGCCGACTCGGCTGGCTCTGCGAGGAGATACAATGGCAGCGGCGCTCAGATGCCTCGTGGGGACTACAATGGCCAACCGGGTACGCAAGGCCAGCCCTCTGCCGGTTACAGGCACGACCAGTATCAAAGCCCTGGCGGCATCTCCTCCCATGCTGCCAGTGCCGCCGCCTCGCCCATGTCTACCCCCCAGATGCGCGACAATAATGGCGACATTCCCATGCACGACGTCCAGGACTCGTACGCCGGCATGAAATACCCCATGAGGCCTCATCACCAGTCTCACCTCTCCGGCAGCCGCTCATCCAATCTATACTCCCCTCAGGAACCCTCGGCTGCTGCCCAACGGTACTCGCCAATGGAGGCACTATCCCCCACCTCGCCCTACGCGCCAAAGTCGGCGCAAGGTCAGTTTGCGTCGCCTCCGGGCCAACGGCAGTCTCCGACGAGGCAGCCGGATTACATACCCCAGAGTCCTCACTACGGTGGCCGCCAACAAGCTCCGCAGCTCCCCCCGATCGCACCGTACGGCTCCTCCCACGATGGCTACCCGTCTGCTGTCGTCGCCAACATTGACGGAGCCTTTGCTACCGACCCCAAGTCACCACGCCGCCCTATCCCGCAGGCTTTGGTCAGAGGGCCTGCACCCGAATTCAGACAAATCAGAGCCCCGACGGATCTTCGACCCAAAGTCAACTCTCAACCTCCGTTCCGGCGTGCGAACCCAGAAGGAGGATTCATCAGCGTAAGCATATTTGCCTAGACGTATCGTCCCTAGATAAATGTAGCCAACTTACATTCCTCCAGCCTCTCCAAGCACTCACCGTGCATCTCCCTGCAACATACAGGATATGCAATCCCAACTTCAAATACGAGTCGTCTCGTAACCCCCGCCGAGTACTCACCAAGCCAAGCAAGGGTGTCAAGAACGACGGATACGATAACGAAGACAGCGACTATATCCTCTATGTGAACGATATCCTGGGCTCAGAGGAAGCCGGCCACAAGTATGTTTTGAGCCCCGATGGCGCAGCTCCCCCGCCGCTTGAGTCGAGCACTTGAGCTGACTAGTGACATAGGAACCGATATCTTATTCTCGACGTTCTGGGCCAGGGAACCTTTGGCCAAGTCGTCAAGTGTCAAAATCTGAAGACCCAGGAAGTTGTTGCCGTCAAGGTTATCAAAAATCGCACGGCTTACTTCAATCAAAGTATGATGGAGGTCTCCGTTCTAGACTTGGTAAGACGGCTCTCTTGCTCTTCACTGACAACAAGATGCTGATCAAAGTCTTATAGCTCAACACCAAGCTCGATAAGAACGACGACCACCATCTTTTGCGACTCCGAGACACCTTCATTCATCGGCAACACTTGTGCCTGGTCTTCGAGCTCCTCAGCGTCAACCTGTACGAGTTGATTAAGCAGAACCAGTTCCGAGGTCTAAGCACGACTCTCGTCCGCGTTTTCGCTCAGCAACTCCTGAATGGCTTGGCCCTCTTGAACAAAGCGCGCCTAATCCATTGCGATCTGAAGCCCGAGAACATTCTTCTTAAGAACCTGGAGAGCCCCATTATCAAGATCATCGATTTTGGTTCGGCATGCGACGAACGACAAACAGTCTATACTTATATTCAATCCAGGTTTTACAGGTCTCCCGAAGTTTTGCTTGGGCTGCCGTACTCATCGGCCATCGACATGTGGTCGCTCGGCTGTATCGTAGTGGAACTTTTCCTCGGCCTCCCCTTGTTCCCTGGATCGTCCGAGTACAACCAAGTCTCGCGCATTGTTGACATGCTCGGCAACCCTCAAAATTGGATGATCGAAATGGGCAAACAAGCCGGCGAGTTCTTTGAGAAGAGACAGGATGAGTTCGGACGACGAACGTATCAGCTGAAGAGCATGGAGCAGTATGCCCGGGAGCACTCGACCAAGGAGCAACCGAGTAAAAAGTATTTCCAAGCGAACACTCTACCGGAGATCATCAAGTCGTACCCTATGCCGCGCAAGAACATGAAGCAGAGCGAGATTGATAGAGGTAAGATTATTGCTGCAAGCTAAGCCATCACGTTTGGGACAAGTGCTAATGCAGCGGATAGAAATGAACAACAGAATTGCCTTTATCGATTTCGTCCGGGGCTTACTGAACATCAACCCCCTGGAACGTTGGTCACCGCAACAGGCCAAGCTGCATCCGTTCATCACCCAGCAAAAGTTCACCGGTCCATTTGTGCCGCCCATGAACTTGAAATCCAGCTCTCTGAACCGGTCTCCAGCACCAGGTACCCAGCAGCAGCAACAAGCCGAAGCATTGAGCAAGCAGAGGGCACAGGCCGCCCAGGCGCAAGCGAACTCTGCGGCACAGGGGGCTTACGCTCAAATGGCTGCTCAATATCAACAACCGGCACACACCCAGCAGACGCCCATGTACAATAATCAACAAATGTACTCTCCTAGCAACAGTCATGCTGCTCAACCACCGCCCTACGGAGCCCAGCAAGGCGGCTATGGTCAAATGGTCATGCCTCAGCAGCCGGCACAGATGCCTCCTGGGCCTTATGGTAATGTGTCCCAGCAGCCTGGCCTATATCCTCAGCAGGGCATGCGCCCGGCACGACAACGTGCCTCAACCATGGAGCAGCAGCAAAGTGGCATTCCAGCCGCTATTCAACGCGTCGCCAGTCACCTTGACCCGAGCCAGCCGATTCGCCTGCAGCCCAGCCCAGCCTACTACCCTCCTCCTGCCGACGGTGGCATGGCAGGCATGGAGAATGCGGCCAATCGGGCCGGTAGACGCGGAAGCCGCGCGCAGCAAGGAGGAGGAGGAAGAGGGAACCGGGATTTTATTCGTAATCTCGAGGAGCGAACACTCGAGGAAGGCTTCATGGGAAGCCAGAATCCCTGGCATTGAAGGCTTGGCGACCTTTGATTACAGCCATTTGAAATGCGCATCGCAACTCGTTCGTAATCCTGGGCCATCAGCATATCCATTGTCTGCTGCCTAGAGACTATGGGAGGTAAAGTCAGGACAGCCCGGAGATCGCTGCTGCAGCGTTTGCTTGCGCCAGATTGACCACAGCAGTGCAGCCTCTGAACGCATGCAGGCTATTGGACGAAGAAGATACCCGGCGGCCTCAACCAGGGAGACCTGTTGTCAGGGGCCCGTCTGAAGAAGACGAGTTTCGAAGCCAGGCTGGAATGGTACGACGAGACACACATATATGGGAGCTTTGACGGGACGATGCATGAGTGAGGAAATTGACGGACGATACTGGATTGGCAGGGACGGCGCCTCCTTGACGGGGGAGGAAAGGGAGGCAGGAAGGGGCTTCGCGGCCAGCGACGACATACGAGACAACGTCCTCTTCACACACCGTTCCTAACTACCTACCTACCTAACTTTGTTCCTAAGGTTAAAAGGGTTTCGGATACAGCAGGTTGGCTTTGCAAGTTGTTTGACTAATGTGGAAGTGACAATGATGCCATAGGGAAAGAGGTTGCTGACCCGATCATGTGTGCCTACCTTACTCAATGATTGTTCAAGATACCAGGTTTACTCCACTTGTGTGGCTCTAAGCAACTTCCAGTCTGAGGAAAGGGCTGGTGACGTGGTTTCTTCAGTATGTTGCTAGGAGTACTTGTACATCCTGGGGAGCACGATCACATTTGCACTCGCACCTATGCTCGTACGGGGGTGCCTTCACTGAATGGGACCTGTCTTCACTTTCCCTCCGTGTTTCCTCTAAAGGGAAAGTGGCTGACTGCAACTTGGGCACTTCTCCCTCCTTGTACGAGCTTGCGGGGGTAGCCGTGATTTCAGACGTCTTCGCTTTTTCATTGTCTCTTCCCAACTACCTCCATCATTGCCCACCCAGCTTTGGCACCATTGCTAAGACAACAACTTTTGGTTCTTTTGGATTTCTTTGTTGCTTTTACAATCTAGCATCTACTCACTGCGGAGCTACTTGTCAGCTTCCTTGCTGGGGTCAACGCAAGCATCCCCGGACTTCTTGGCCAAGTTCTCCTTAGGAAGCCATGGCGCATCCTCTCTTAGTAACGGAGCAGAGGGACGCTGGTGGTTCTGGCCCACTCCCGAGACCTCAAGCCAAACGCCGTTCGGAGGTTACGTCTAGGGAAGATTTCTCGCTAATGCAAAAAAGCTCAGAGCCCATTCTCAAACTCGGCAGCAGCAGAAGAAGTAAACATCGTGCTTCCTTAAGCAGTTTGTGGCAAAAGACCGTTTCACGTATGCCAACCTTTACCAGAAAAGATTCCGCTTATCAGCAAGCTGCTAAGGTAGCTCATACATCATCAGTCCAGTCAGTAAAGCGACCAATTCAGTCCAAGTTGCTTCCAGACCAAGGTCAGCATCAGGCCGACAAGTCCACAACCGTCAAGGACGATACCACGTTATCCCAGAAGAAGAAAAGTCCGAGTCAACCCCATGCGCTTCTTGATTATCATCGGTTTAATGCTGACTCCACCTGTCTCTTAGGTTTGTTCAAACGCCGAAGCCTCGGAAATATATTTGGTACGAGCAGCCGGAAAACTCTCAAAAGGAGCACCAAGTCTGAGGAGGCTCTTACGACCCATATGGGGTCTGACGTGTCTACGTCCACTCATGAAATATGCCCTTCTGCCTCGCTCGTCGCCCCAGAGCTGCCGAAGGTGCGGGCATCCGGAAACTTCGAGAAAGAGTGCGTGATCATCACTGGAGAGCCGCTCACGCTGCAACCGCCGATTTGTAATGGGCAGCATGCGACCCAGCCACTAGAGATCCTGGAGGGAGATGGTAAGCCCCCTCTCCTTGATCTAGGGCCTGCCGCCGAAGATCGAGTTCCCAATGTGTCGCTATCATCATTGGCTTTACTCCAGCGACCTAGCTCCTTCGATCCCAAAAAATCTACGAAATATGCTTTGGCTGCGACAGCTGCGGACTCCATCACAATGGACACTGAATACCCACCTCGCTTGGCCTTAGAAAAAAAAGATAGTAAGAAGAAGCAGACGTCGCAATCAGCAGCGCCCATTGATCAGCATGCCCAGTTGGAGTCCGAAACACCGCGACTCATTGAGACGGAAAGACCTCTTGAGCTGGCCAATGGAGCGTCCAAGAAGGAGTCTAGAGAAGTCATTCGATTCTCCGCTGCCGTCCCGGTCGAGACGTCCAACCAACAGATACCCATCATGGACCCTACGCGGCATCTCCCCCGCGAGAAGCCCGAGTGTGGCACCTCAACAAGAGATCACGTGATGAAACCGTATCCTGAGAATGCTGGCAAGTATGGGCCTTTCTATCCTACTGCGGAGACGTGACCATTGACTGACACTGCCTGGCGAACTGGCATAGATACTACGTCAAATGGAACAGACATTGATACCTCTCGTAGCCAACACTGGGAGACTGAAACAACTGTTGCTGGACCGGAGAAGGACAATGGTTCAGGCGCAGACCTGATCCCAAAACAACCGCACGATGTACGGCATCAACAACTCATGTATGCTCCGCATCATGTGATCGACCAGGAATATGGCGACTGGCTGTCTAGGAGCGCTATTCCAATGACGGATAGTGCGACAATCACTCGCGAAATACATCGAGAGACAATGGATACAGGCCGGCTCACTGTGATTCCGGACATGGCCCTGGAATCAGATTCTATGAAGAGAAACGGATATGACACTGTCTACCCGCCGAATTACGTTTCCAAACCTCGGCTTACCTCAATAAATGCATTGGTCATGGATCCTCTGCTTAATGCAGCACTCGAAACTCGCCTCGTTATTTCTGACGGAAAAAACAGTACCATTGGTAGTAACAGCACCATCCGAAAGCGCATTGACTCTGGTGGCGTGGAGCTCAAAAGGAAGACGAAAAGCATGGCGTTCATCAAACACATTGATATACCCCCTCTCGAACATTCTTACAGTCACATACAGAGTTTGGAGAACCCTGAGGATTCGATCGGTGGCCCTAGAAGCTGGCCTGAGATATCCGTCTACGATGAGGGCAGCTGGGACGTTTGCGTGGACTGTAGTGATGTGGATGACGTCCAGTTGTGAGGAGCGGTCTCAGGTTTGGCTTTTTGGTTTTTGGTTTGTTTTTTTTATTAATTCGACTCTGCGTTTATGGACATGGTAAAGAGATTAAGGGGTCTTTTAGGTAGTCCTCGTGCCCCAACCATGGTGGCTGCTTGTCTTTCAAGTAACGGTCAAACCAGAACAAAGAACTATTAGGTAATCACTTAACGAAGCGCAACGTTGATGTTGAACCGGCGGGGATTTAAAGCCACCCCGTTAAGTGGGCGCAGTCACTTGGTACTTCCGACTGCAGACGGCCTGATTGGAGAAATACGTACCGAATCGTCCAATCGAGTGGAGACCCCTGGAACACGCTCCCACGGCCCTCTAAACCAACGCGCCCAGATCAGCCGCAAGTAAAGGTAACTTTCTGTCCCATGCTCGTCAGGGTCTTTGCGACGTAATTCATCCATTATTCGACTCGTCTTTGCCCGCCTTTCTCGAGTTTAAGGTGTCTCCTTGCTGCCACAACCCGTCGCTGACCTAGTAAACCCTCTTCACCTTTTCTCTCCCTTGCTACCCTTACAACCCCAGGTTTTGCAACCAAACGTGCCTTGCCGCTACCTGCATTTTCGGCTTTTACGACAAGCACACCCAACATCCCTCCATCCCGAATCGATCGAAACACTTGCCAAGGAGATCAATCATCATGGCGAAGGTTGCAACCGACTTTGAGAAAATCATCCAACAAGGTAGAGCCACTTTCTCATCACATCACCGATCGCCGCCTATCTAGAACCGACCGCTGACCAGAGGACGTATTGCGTCGTTTCGCAGGACGAGAGAGGAAGAAGAACGAGGCGCTGGCACAGAAGATTTTCTCCAAGGATAGACGGCAGAGTGCACCCTCGAAACTTAAGCCTGGTGCGGGTCCGTCGCTGGCGAGCCGAGTCGGCATCACAAAGGTATGGATCCTTCACCCTCTGTCATCCGTAGCTTCGACAAGTCGACGAGCCAGCGATTGCTGACGTTTGTCACACCGTGAATAGAATCGCACAGCGTCCCTCGGCCCCAAGGCCCTTCTCGGCGGCAATATCGATGGCGACTGGACACACGATCTTCACGGAACGGTAAACGGCGGTGGCAGAGGGCGGAACAATGGTAACAACGGCGGCGCAGGCGGCCTCGCGTCGCGCATCTCTGCGCCGGGAGGCAGACCTGCGCCTGCCGCGGCGTCGAACAATAACAGACGAGCCGAGCGACGCGCCGAGCAGAAGGCGGCGAGAGTGGCTGCCGCGATCGAGCGCTCGGGCGCCATGGCCGACGTGCAGATGGCTTCTGTCGCGAATGTCGTGCCCACGGGACCGTCGAACAAGCAAGGGCTCTCGATTCGGGGATTGGCGGGCCCGTTTGCGGTGATGGCGCAAAACTTTGCTTCGGGGACGACAGCGGCGGATATCGAGAGCGCGATGACGCCTGTCGGTGGGGAGATGCTGAGTTGTCGGATCATCAAGACGGCTCCTCTGCTTGTGGCGGAGATGGTCTTTGCGACAAAGGAGGGTGGTGATGCGGTTATTTCTACCTTTAACAACCAGACGGTAAGAGGGCACCAAGTCTGCTATGAACCCAGCGACGGCAGGCGCTGGGATTTTGTTGCTGGTTGCTGACGGTCGAGGTGGTTTAGGCCGACGGACGCATCATCAAAGTTTACCCCAAGCCCGGCGGCTACAAGGAGCCCGCATCTCGCCCTGCGAACACCCGCTCGACATCGAGCAACGTTGTCGACGGCACGAACGGATTCCCCGAGGCCATGGAGCAGGACGATGGCGGCTTGTACAGCGATAAACTCGTCAGCACTGGTGGCAACGGCGGCGGAAACAGTAACCGTAGAGGACGCGGCTTCAACCGTGGCGGCAGACGATGAAGAGGCGAGATAACGAGGGAAAAGTGCTGTTACTGGAAGGCGATGACGACCGAGGCGGAGGCACTAGTAAAACCATTCCAACATCAAAACGCGGGTTTTTCCAATCTGCTTGGGCGTTAAACTGAGAGCGGGCTGGGAGGGTCAAAAATACCTAGGCGACTCATGTGTATGTTGGTTCTGCTGGTTAGGGCATTTCAGATGGGACCGGATCTCTTGCGATTGGGGAGATCTTTAGAGAGCGCAGATCTCACTCATTCGAGGAGGCATATGTACTACTACTGGACCAAGAAAAAAACTTGCCTCTTCTTTCACAAGACGAGTGGTTTTTGCAATCAGGGGGTGTGTTCTGGGAAATGGCATCGGGTCAGAGCTGAGCTCAGAAAATGCATTGAGATAGGGGTATTAAAGACTGAGTCGTTCTATGTTCTATCTTAGATATGTGGCATGGTTCGGATGTTTTACAGGGTAGTACATTTGTGAAAAGGGAGATCTAGAAGTCCAACATTTCTTGGTCATCTTTCTTGGCGGATGCAGTATCCTCCATACGCTGATTCGGGTCGGTAAACTCGACCGCAAGACGATTGAGCTTGCTCCGCTTCTCCTTGAGCCTGTTGAGCGCTTCGGTGTCGGTAAGGGTGTTCTCATTGACGACCTTGTCGACGGCGCTAATCATCTTGCGCGCGAGGTCAGCGAGGTCTTCGACAGCCTCGGCGCGTTGCCGGGCCGCGTATTTCCCCTGGGATTTGATCAGAGCCTCCTGCGCCGCCGTGAAGGGCTGCCAGAGGTTGTCCACGGCGGCGGCGAGCTGCTCACCATAGGCGCGCTTCGCGCCCTTTCTGTCGCCCGCTTTATCCATCTGGCGGAAGCGGAAGTGGCAAATGATGCCGGCCTTCATGTAAATGAGGAGGGCGCGCACGTCCACAGGCGATTTCTGCGCGGCGCCGTGAGCGAGCATCGTGTTGAGGACGGACGTGGCGTCGACGAATGCGTTCTGACTCATGTTGTTGTTGTTACAGGCGGAGAGAGCACGGCGGTAGACGATGGGAGGGACGGGTTTGTCGGAGGGCATCAGACGCACAGCCTTGGCGGCGTCTTTACTCGAGCCGCTGCGCTCGTAGAGACGGATCATTTGGTGGTAGTTGTCCGTGTCGGGCTTGACGCCGTAGTAGTGGACAAACAGGTCCCAGTATTTTACGCCCAGCTTGGTTTGCCTCTGCTCGCGGACGATGGCGAGAACGAGAGATAGGGTGTTGGACCGTGGCACGGCGTATTTGATTTTCGGTGAGAGGACCGTAGCTTTGCGTTTGATGCTGCCCGGCACGCTGATGCCCTTCATCTCGTCGTTGATGCGGTGTGCGTAGTCGTCGCCTGTCGGCGCGCGATTGTAGTCGCGGACGCTCATGGTTTCTTCGAGCATGGAGAGAATCCTGCCTCTGTCCTGGTTGCCTCCGAGGAGCAGGACGCGGCCCATGGCGCACACCAGGTCCTCGTCAATCTCCAGCTTGCCGTTGCGCCAATTGCGCATGACCTCCTCCCAGATTTGCTTGCATCGTTTGATCGCCTGTTCCACCGTCTCGATGTGCTCCTGAAGAGACTGCCCTTTGCGGTTGTCTTGATTCTCTGCCTCTGCGCGTAGTGTGTTGATAATGGCCGTGTACGTATAAGCGGTATTCTTGCGACCGGACTTGGCGTCGGCCGTGTCGGCCAGTGTGAACATATTTTCGACATCACCTGCGCGGCCGCAGCACTGGAGGACGGCGTTGAGATGGATCGAGTTGGGCTGGATCTTTGCGTCCTCCTTGAGCATCATCTTGTAGATGCCAAGGGCCTTGGGGCTGGCCGCTTTTGGGTCGCGAGACTTTGCGCAGCCGGTAAAGATGATGGTGAAGGTCTGTTCGTTGGGCGACTGGCCGCGCTTCTTCATGTCGTTGAAGAGGCTGATGGCGTAATTGACACGCTTCATCCCCATGATCTGGTACTTTATAAGGTGGTTCCAAGCCACGACGAGGTTGTTGTCCTTACCGCTGGCGCGCTGGACGAGGAGGAGGGCCTCGTCGAAGCGGCCCTTTTCAAGGGTCGCCTCGACGTGCTTCGCGACGTTGAAGGGATTTTCCAAGTGCTCGAGATGCTTTGACACGGCCCAGTCTAGCTTCTGTTTCCTCCTCTTTTCTGCCAAGTCCTTGTCGTCGCCGTCGGAGGTTCGCGCGATATCCTGGGCTTCTTTCAAAAATGCCCGGCCCGCGGCCGTCGTTGGTGTTGCCTTTCTATGGGCAAGTCGGCGTTGGCTGCCCGGGGGCCCATGGTAAAGGGCGGGTAGCGCAGAAGGTATTTCGGAGAAAGAGGCCTTGCCCGAAAAAGGCTGAAGCGCCCGTGTGAGGCACGCTTTGCAGGGCAGCATCCTCTTCGTGGTGGAAGGTGTACGAGGTTGAAGCCAAGTACTAGGTATCGACTGTCTCCAATCATGAAAGCGCCACTGGTAAATTTTGCGACCAACTTCAGGTATCTCACTGCCAAAGCTCCCTTATCTTATCGGAGAGCTTGCCTGTGCCTGCGTCTTGCATGGCTTAGCGTGTCGCGCAGAACATCGACGTTAATTGCGGGGCAGGTCTTTTTGTACAAGCTCCATCTTGGGTGTGTTTAGCGCAAACTTGACCAATTGGCCCGACGGCAATTAAGCAAAAACGCGTCGCCAAACACGAACGCGACTTCCATGCGCGCCACCCCTGGCTGACGGCCAAATTATAGTGCAGAGGAATCCCGTGCTTTGTGTTATCCCACCCACAACAGGCCTACCCCGTTTCTCGATACGAAGTCAACTCGACACGCCGAATCCTTCAGTGTCTATTGCTGTCGCCGAATACCTTTGTGCTCTTACGATGAATTGAGTGTCCCTTCGAGCCATTGAACCATTTCCCTCCTACTCGACACACCGAACCTGCCCACCATGCCCAAAGTCGACAGACGCTCGAAGCTGGCCGAACTTCGGGCTCTCCGAGCGTCCGGCAAGAGAGCTAACTACGAGGTCGAGGAGGTCGACGAGCTTTACGAGGAGGTTGACGAGAACCAATACAAGAAGATCATTCGAGACCGTCTAAACCAAGACGATTTCGTTGTCGACGACAATGGCGAGGGGTACGCCGACGATGGCCGGGAGGAGTGGGATCGTCAGCCTCAGTACTACTCGGAAAGCGATGAAGAGATGCCAGTGAAAGGCCGCGGTAGGCCGAGCAAATCATGTAAGCAGACGCTCCTATCCACACACCTACGAGATCTGTATCATGCTGACTTACAGCAGCAAAAAAGCAGCGCGAAGACGAGGAGGCCAAGCGAGATGCTAATGACAGAGATATTAGCGAATACTTCACAAAGGGAACCGCCAAGGCACAAGCTAAACCAAAGGTTTGTGACCTGACCCACAGACTGGAGGAGAAGTCTGTACTGACAACAACTATAGGTCGCCAAAACGAAAGAAGATGATGCATTCCTCGCCGATCTCCTGGGCGAGGTCGACGCCAATATCCCCGCTCCTGCATCTCGGTCAGCCAAGCGTAACAGATCCCCAGAACGTCGCCGAGCCCGTGTGCTTTCTCCCGCCCCCGAAGCCAGGTCGCGTCTTACCAAGCGAACGAAGACCGTGGATGACAGACTATCATCTCCCACCTTTGACAATTCGGCAGCAAACGACGGCTATTTACCCCCTATGGGTGACGATAGGGACGATAGCCCTGCTCCGATCAACGTGGACGACATTCCCATTTCCGAAGACCCCGCGCCATCATCACCTGCCGCCAAAGTAGCTCAACGCAAGGCATTGGTCAAGCAAGAGCCCCAGGAGGAGGACGACGAGGACATGATGGAAGTTGCCCACGCTGGTGCGGTCACCGCTGCTAGCGTGAATATCACAGGGTCAAGGCCACCGAAGAAGCTGACCAAGCCCGATCCCTACCCTACACCTTTGAGTTCCTCTCCGGCCAAGCCTGCTGCACCATCAGTCGACTCGTCAGCTTGGAATAATATCACCGACCAGCTCAATGTTGTTTCGAGCTCCCCTGCGGAGGCTAGAACCGTCGGCAAGATAGACTATAAGGATGCTATCGAGGAGGACGGTAGTCTCAACATGTTCTGGACTGACTACACAGAGGTCAATGGCAGTCTCTGCCTTTTCGGCAAGGTCTTGAACAAAAAGACTGGCTTGTATGTCAGTTGCTTCGTCAAGGTCGACAACATTCTCCGCAAGCTCTTTTTCCTTCCTCGCGAGACGAAGCTGGAAGGTGGAGAAGAGACAACAGAGGAGGTCGAGATGATGGATGTCTACTCTGAGGTCGACTCACTCATGACCAAGATGAACGTTGGCATGTACAAGATCAAGGCATGCACACGAAAGTATGCATTTGAGCTTCCAGGGATTCCCAAGGAGGCCCAATACTTGAAGTGTCTCTACCCCTACACGAAGTCTGTCATTGACAGTGCGGCCACTGGAGATACATTCTCACGTGTCTTCGGCACAAATACCGCGCTGTTCGAACAATTTGTGCTGTGGAAGAACATCATGGGCCCCTGCTGGCTAAAGATCGTCGATGCCGACTTTAGTTCCCTCAAGAACGCCTCTCACTGCAAGCTTGAAGTGCACGTCGACCACCCTAACATGGTCTCCACGCTGAGCGACTCTGACAACCTCGATACCCCTCCCCTGACCTTGATGAGCATTGCGCTGCGCACTGCCTTCAACGCCAAGGCTAACAAGCAGGAGATTCTCGCAATCAGCGCCCGTATCTACGAGAAGGCTTCCTTGGCCGATCCAACTCCGGCCGAGAAGCTCCCCTGCCGGACATTCACCCTCATTCGGCCTCATGGGACAGTTTTTCCTCTCGGATTTGAGAACTTGGCAAAGGACAGAAAGAGAGGCCTCATCAAGACCTTCCGTCAAGAGTCGGAAATCCTCATGTTCTTCCTTGCTCAGCTTGATGTTGTGGATCCGGACGTGATTCTAGGACATCAGTTGGAGGGAGTCGACTACAGCGTTTTGCTCAACCGCATTCACGAAAAGAAGACGCACCAATGGTCTCGGCTCGGTCGACTCAAGCGAACCCAGTGGCCGGCTTCAATGAACAAGGTGGGCGGTAATGTCTTCGCTGAGAGGCAAGTCATGGCCGGTCGTTTACTTTGCGACCTGGCCAACGATGCTGGAAAGTCTACCATGTTCAAGTGTCAGTCTTGGAGCTTGACAGAAATGTGCAGTCTATACCTACCGGGCAACAACCGCAGGCAGGACATCGACAATGAAGCAGCGCTCAAGACATGGGCAAACCAGTCTAAGGAGGGCATGATGAACTACGTATCACACATGGAAGCCGACACCCACTTCATTACCGCACTGGCTTTGCAGGTTCAGCTTCTCCCTTTGACCAAGGTCCTCACCAATTTGGCTGGTAACTCGTGGGCGAGAACTCTTACTGGAACTCGCGCAGAGCGAAACGAGTACATTTTATTGCACGAGTTCCACCGCAACAAGTACATTTGTCCTGACAAGCAAACCTACAGGGGCAGAATGGCCCAGGAAGAAAACGAAGCCGGAGAAGGCGACGGTAAAAAGAAGGACAAGTACAAGGGAGGTCTCGTTTTTGAACCCGAAAAGGGTCTTTACGACAAGTTTGTTCTGGTCATGGATTTCAACTCCCTGTACCCTTCCATCATTCAGGAGTATAACATCTGCTTCACGACCGTCGACAGATCTGCCATGGTAAGCGCGGCGTTTTGCCCCACCTTGATATCAGACGCTAACTCACCCAAAAGGAACAAGACGAAGAAGCTGTACCCGAGGTCCCCAAGGATCAGGAGCAAGGCATCTTGCCCAGACTCATTGCTACACTTGTTGGCCGAAGAAAGCAAGTCAAATCCTTGATGAAGGACAAGAACGCAACTCCAGAGCAGCTTACCACCTGGGATATCAAGCAGCTTGCGCTGAAGCTTACGGCCAACTCGATGTACGGATGTTTGGGCTACACCAAGTCTCGTTTCTACGCGCGTCCTCTAGCCGTCTTGACCACGTACAAGGGCCGTGAGATTCTGCGCAGCACCAAGGAGCTCGCCGAGAGTAATCAGCTCCAGGTCATATATGGAGACACCGACTCCGTCATGATCAACGCCAATGTCGAGAACGTGTCCGATGCCTTCAAGGTCGGTCAAGAGTTCAAGAAGGCCGTCAACGAGAGGTACAGACTCTTGGAGATTGATATAGACAATGTCTTCCGCCGCATTCTGCTCCAGGCCAAGAAGAAGTACGCTGCTATCAACTTGGTCGAAAAGGATGGCAAGTTCATCGAGAAGATGGAGGTCAAGGGTCTCGATATGAAGCGTCGTGAGTATTGTGGCCTGTCCAAGGAAATCTCTAGCAAGATCCTCGACGAAATTCTGTCAGGCAACGAGACTGAGAAGTCCATTTCGCGCATCCACGAATACCTTCGAGAGATCTCTGGCAAGATGCGGGAGCAAACTGTTCCGGTACAAAAGTACATCATCTTCACGCAGCTCGGCAAGGCTCCTACAGAGTATCCCAACGCGGACTCGATGCCCCAGGTCCAGGTTGCATTGCGAGAAATCGCTAGAGGAAAGAACGTTCGTCGTGGCGATGTTATCTCCTATGTTATCACCGGCGACCCTCAGAGCTCCGACCCCGCCCCGAAGAGAGCCTACTCTCCCCCGGATGTCATGAAACCTAATTCTGGCCTCTCACCGGATGTCGAGTGGTACCTCGGCAAGCAAATCTTCCCACCAGTCGAGCGTCTTTGCGCGAACATTGTTGGAACCTCGAGCTCTCAGCTTGCAGAGTGCCTCGGCTTGGATATCCGCAGGTACAAGTCAGTCCAGGACCAGCAACAGGGCGGAGGCAGCAACGATGTTGAGATCCATCCCATGGAGTCACAAATCCCCGATGAAGTGCGCTTCGCCGAATGTACCCGCCTCTCCCTTCGCTGCCGGACGTGCAAAAAGTCTTCCGTCTTCGAAGGTCTGCTGGCACAGCCTGACCGCGTCTCGGCATCTGGAGTGCTTTGCGACTCCTGCAACGCCACCATCTCCACGCTCTCGATCGTAGCCCAGCTCGAGCATGCCCTCCGAACTCAGACGGCACGCTACTACGAGGGCTGGCTGGTCTGCGATGATTCCGCCTGCGGCATGCGCACCCGCCAAATGAACGTCTACGGCACCCGCTGCCTAGGCCCGAAGGGCCTTGCGCGGGACTGCTTGGGCCGCATGCGCTATGAGTACACGGAGAAAGCCATTTACAACCAGCTCGTATACTATGCTAGTCTGTGGGACGTTGACAAGGCCAAAACCAAGGCCTCTGTGGAGAACAGCAACGACCTTTCGCGCGAACACAAGGACAAGATTCTCGCGATGGCGGAGCACAACCGCGTCCGGTTTGGCACCGTCAAGGGCGTGGTGGATAAGTATCTCGACAAGTGTGGTAGACAATGGGTCGCCATGGATACTCTGTTTGCCAAACTGGGGTTCAACAAGCTCCTAGTTGCAGCATAAGGCGCGCTAGTGCCACATGGGGTGCGCAAAGGATAGCTCATAATGACTGGAATGGGATGTTTTTGAACATGACGAAGCTCTGAGGAGTTGGTATGGAGGCTGTCTTGAGGCTCTTGCCGGGTATTTTTGATTTTGTTTTTTTGGGCGGAGGACGATGATCTTGGGAGTAGGAGAGCCCGGAGTTTGGTTGGACTTGGGAAATCGAGGCGGGCAAACCTGGCCTCTGGACATGTGTTATCGTAGGGAACAACAGGTTTAATGTCTTTTCAAAGTGCATCTTGATACATAATAGTCCTTCCTGCCAGTATAAGTAAACCGTGAGTTTTGCATTACGAAGACCCCTTTTCCACTCGTTCAAGATTGTTTTTCCTTTCATCATCCCCTGGAGGTGGTGGTCCAGAGCAGTAGATGATATCTACAAGGGGTTATGAGAGCCAGTGCAGGTCGAGATTGGGGTTATGCATGGATCAAGGAAACGTTTTAGGCTCTTGACATGGGAAGCTCCTCTTGTATGTAATGACTTTGGTCATCAACACACAGTCAGTCACAGTTTGCGAACACGAGAAGAAGTTGTGAACTATGTAGTCTTTTCTTTTGAAGGCTAGGTCCACTGGCAAGCTCATTGCCGAATTAAATGTACAAGTCAGAGAAAGCATTAGGTCCCTCCACGCCCGGTCGATTAACCCCAACCAGTCCCTTTTCGCCGGCGAAGATGCCTTGACCAAGACCAAGCCACTGTTGGCGACCAGTGACCTGATCCTCCGAGTCAAAGCTCTCTCACCGAGCAACTCTCTCTGCCTTCGTAGTGAACAGAGGTGAATGCTGGACCAGTCCGCTCCCTCCAATGACCAGGGACCCCTTATTCCGCAGTGTTCCTTGCGGAGCACGCCAGAAAGTTGTTGGTGACGTTGAGAGACCTGCCAGTGATGACCAAGCCAATGCCCAAAGGATGGAAAAAAAAAAAGACGAAAATCCTCTTCTGAACAAATCCCTAAATCCCCCTTTTTGCATTCGGAACAGGATCACAACCTTGCCGACGCTCCTGCGTATGCTTTTTTGATGTCCTGCCTTAAAAGAGCAAATTCGCGCACTCTCATAACGTGCGCATGAGCTCTTCGTTGCTGGATGGACTCTCCCTTGGGTCGTCTCTTCTTTCGCACGTCTGGCCCGTCTGCATTCAACCATTTCCTAACTACTACCCCCACGTAGCCAGGCACGTAAAAGAGGACCCATAAAGCGTCGTGAACTCGTATTAGAAAAGGAATAAAACACGGGATGTATGTGTGTGTGTCTTGTGTTAGAGCGCATCATGAATCGATGCGGTCGTGTTGAAGAGGGTCGAATGTGGAAAATGAAACATCCGGAGTCCGAAAATGGAAAACCTCTCTTCCTGGTGAGAGGTCATCTCAATGTGAATCGTCTATGTCGGTATTCTTTCGAGGTATCATGGTCCGCAGCAAAGATCAGGGTAACTTTTGAAACACGAACTCTGCAAACCCTCTTTGTAAATGCACCAAACAGCCCCCGCCCCCTGTCTATTTGCTTAAATGCAATGACTTGTTGGAAAAGGAAATACTCGACTACTCTCATTTGCTCTCAGCAGCGGTGCTGTCGGGAACAGCCTTGGACAGTGCAGGAGAGGCAGCAGTCGAAGGAGGAGAGGCCGGGGTTTCGCTGTCCAAGTTGGCGAGTGCACTGCAATGGTGGTTAGCTATTGACTATGGAAATTGCCAAAATCATATAATTTACCTGAAGGCGTTTTGATGTTGGGTGGTAGGGGGAGTTCCGGTGCGGGATGAAGCACCAGAGTCCTCACCAGGTCGGCCGAGGGAGCCGCCAGGCCCCAGTCTGCGTCCACTGTTGCTGCGCGAGCTGAACATGGAGGTAGGGCCGAGCGAGATGTTGCCACTGGCAGCTCTACTGGTCGAGCCCTTCAGGCGGCGCAAGTCGTCCATGCCAACCTGGTTGGACTGGGCCTGCATATAGCCAGAGGAGAAGTTGCGAGAATCGCCACGGCCAACATTGGGACGGCCACCGGGACCGCGTTGGCTGCCGCCGCGCTGGTTCTCCATTGCCTTCTGGGCAGCAGCTGCTTCAGCCTACGCGAATGGTTAGTACACAGTATTTCGGAACGATGATTGAGGCGTGCCATACCTCTGCGCGAATCTCATCAAGAGTCTTAGGGCCCTTGTTTGCCTCCTTGGAGGCCCAGCCGGCCTTGCGAAGATCGAGGACATCCAAAAGCATAAACTTCAGTCTGCTGGGAAGCTCGGGCATATCCATCATGTGCTGAATGCGGTCGAAGTAGACATTCATCAAGGCCTTACCCTTCTCAGAAGCGTCGAGGTTGTTACCAATGGTTCTCAACAACTTGGAGAGTGACTCTATCTCAGCCTCGTCGGGGATACCCTCGTAGTCAACAAGCTTGCGAACACACTCGTGCATAATGCGCTCCGTCAGCATGCCAAGCTTGTACAGCTCACCAATGAACTGGACGAGGCCAAGACCACGACGCTTGGCGGCAGCAGCAATATAGTATTCGTCGGAAAGCATGGCAGCCTCGTTTGACTGGGGCTTGCCCTCGTCTGCTTCCTCGGGCTTGGTAGGCAGGTTGACCTTCCAGCCGCGCTCGAATTCCTCCTGGCAACGGTTGAGGAGGTACTTGCGGAATAAGGCACCGCCGCTGACAACGACACCGTTCTTGTCCTTGATGTTCTCATCGCGGATCTCAGGGCTCATCGTATCAAGCATACGCTTGCAGAACTTGGCGTACATTGAAGCCCAGTGAGCCTCGTCGGTGGCCTTCTCGAAAGTAAGCTGAATGACCTGGCGGAGAGTGCGGCCGTCAGACTCGTCCTTGGACTGGCCAGCGATGGCCAGAATCTGGTCGGCAATCTTGTCGAACTTCTCCGGAGTCATCTTGTTGAGAGCAGCCTTGACCTTGCGCTGAACCATCTGGGGATCCAGGTGATCGCCGCCAGGAGTAGGGCCTGAAACTGAAGGGCCTTTGCCGACGCTGGTCGGCTTCCAGCCTGAAGCTGAGACGGTGATGGGCTTGAGCTCCATACCAGCCGTGAGAGGCATGGTCTTGGCCGCCTGCGCATCCTTGGCATTGTAGTCGTTGCGCCTGCTGCCACCACCTCTGGCGGAACGGGTTCTGGGAGAGTTAGGTCCCATGTTGGAGGAGGACGGTGTGCGATTCGCCATCTGAGGGCCAGGGAACTGGCGGAAAGTGCCCATATTGCCAACGGGGCCACCTCCTGAGCCCATAGCTGCATTTGCCATGGCAAACCGTTCAGCAGAAGTCGTGCCTCGGACGTTGTTAGAGGGGCCACGGAAGCTGCCCATGGCGCCAACTTGAGGTGGAGCGGCGCCGCGTTGGGAGCCACCACGACCAGAACCAGCACGAGGAGTAGACGCAGAACGACCACCATCGTTGTCGCCAATGAGCGACTTGACCTGCTGGTGGAACTCTGTGGAAGGCTGCTCCGTGAAGACCTTCTGGAACTGGAGCAAGAACTGAGCGTCATACTTGAATGTCTTGCCCTTCTTGGCGACCGCGGCGTTCAAGGCCGGGTTGGGAGAGCTGATGCCGGCAGGGTAGAGGTCTTGGTTCATGACAGTCAAGAAGCGGGCAGACTTCAAGGACTGAAGAGCAGCACTGGGCTGGGGCGGCTCGACAGGCTTGGTGTTGAGAGGAGCCAGGTTGAGAGGGGACGGCTTGGGGCCGCGCTTCTCGGTCGGAGTAGCCTTGGGCGCGGAAGCCTCGGTGGGAGTCGAGGCCTTGGAGTCACCAATGCTGAGGTTGGAAAGCTTGTCGGCAACATCGCCCACCTTCGAAGGCTCGCTGTCGCCAGTCTTCCCGGCGAGCAGCTCGGCGACCGAAGGGGTGTTTCCGCCCTGTGCACGCTTTCTCTCCTTCTCCTCCTCGAGACGCTCCATTTCGCGCTCAGCCTCACGGAGCTTGCGGTCTGCTTCGGCAGCGTTGGTGGACTTGTTTGCCTCGTCGAGCTTCTTCTGAGCCTCCTTCTCGGCTTGCTTCTTGGCGGCGTATTCAGCGGCCTCCTTTTCGCGACGGGCATCTTCCTCCTCCATCTCGCGGATCATTCGCTCCATCTCGTCTTCCTCGTCGACGGGAGCGACAGCAGCCTTCTCAGCAGCCTTCTCAGCAGCCTTCTCGGCCTCCGCCTTGGCCTTGGCCTCAGCGGCGTTCTTCTCTTCTTCAGCGGCGGCTGCCTTCGCCTTCTCTTCCTCGTCAGCCTTGCGCTTCGCTTCGGCTTCTTCTTCAGCCTTGCGAGCCTCTTCCTTTGCCTTTTCCTCGGCCTTGCGAGCTTCTTCCTTTGCCTCGGCAGCCTTCTTCTCTTCGTCGGCGGCCTTGGCCTTAGCGTCGGCCTCTTCCTTCGCTTTGTCTTCACCACCCTTGGCCTGCTGGATCTTCGCTCTTAGCTCGTCCTGTATTTCTTGGCGAGTCTTGGGAGTGGCCTGGCTGTCGGTGCGAGTGTGGGATGGCGTGACCGACTTAGGAGGGGGAGTAGGGGTAGAGGTCACGATGGGGGGAGTCTTGGACTGCTGGATAATAGGAGGGGCAGGCGACGACGGAGTCTTGATGCTCTTCTTGAAGTCGACAGCTTCGCCGGCAGCGTTCTTGATAACGATAGCAGCACTCTTCTTAGGGCGAACGAAGTTGCCAGATGACGCGACAACTGGGGTCTTGACTTGAGCGATCTGGGGTTGGGGGGTACCAGACACAACGACAGGCTGGCTCGGCTGGCCAGTGCTGGAGGAAGGCCGCTCAGAGTGAGAGGAAGTGCGAGACATAGCAGTCGGCGCAGGTTGGTGGTAGGTGGGTGGAGCGTAGCCAGGCTGGAATGCCGGGGGGGCTCCAGGAGAGGGCATGTATCCCATCTGGTTGTAGTAGATAGGTCGGCCGAACTGGTCGAACTGGTGGTTCGCCTGGGGAGGGTAGCCGTATTGTGCCTTTGTTTGAGTTAGCAATCTTTCATAATTACCGCTTTCGGGAGATAGATCGATAGGGGGTACTGGGGGACGAGAGAGATGAAAAAGGCCGCCGGGATCAGTCGGCATATAAGCCAGCTCGGTGATACCAAATTCGCCCAAGTCAGAACAGTAACCCGAGGTCAAACCGTCACGGTCGGCCCAAAGTTGCTCCCCATACTTGCTGTGGCGCCGAGGTCTGCCGGAGTCGAACGGCAGGTCATGCGAGGAATCCACGTGTCTCGACTTCAAATGGGAAGACTTCTCCCATTGCTTGAAAGACTTCTTTTTGCTCTTGAAAGACGGAACGAAAGACGTGACCAAAGTCGACGGAACAGAAACATCTTGAAAGGGAGGGGATATTACATTGGGAGGCGGCCCCTGCTGGTAGTACTGAGGAGAGGGAGCTGGCATCGGCATTGGATGCATCTGCGCCGGAGGCATGTTCGGGGTTCCAGGTTGGGAATGGGCCAGAGCAGGGCTTCGGGCCGGCTGAGGCGAGTTCGGGTAGGGTTGCATTGGCCTTCCGGGGTGGAAGGCAGGCGGCATGCCGCCACGGCCCTGGCCGTTTCGGTATTGCTGCTGGTTCGGGGGGAATCCCATGTTGGCCTGGTACGGGGGTTGGTGAGGGTTGAAGCCACGGCCACGGCCGCCCTGGGGTTGGAAACCTCCACGGTTCGGGCCTTGGTTAGGGCCAGGAGCGTCGCTGTGCTGGGAAACGCCGGACTCCCGTCGAATATGCGAGCCGGGCATCGCAGGAAGAGCGGCCTGGCTCTGAGGAGTAGAGGCTTGTCTCATGTGGCGCTGGAGAGAATGAACGTCAGTGGCGCGAACGCGAGCACGGTGTCCGAATAGAACGGGACAAACATCACTTACATCGCCATCGCTTCCGAGACTGCCAAAGGTCATCGCGTTGGGTTGAGCCATGCCCGAGGGAGGACGGCCGCCGCTGGCAGACGGCTGAGGGATAGGGGAAGGAGAGTGCGCGGGAGAGGGCACTCTCTGGTTGGATCCGGGAATGGGGATCGGAGCAGCCGTGGTTTGAGGGATGCTGTGCGCGACAGCAGGGGAGTTGTATCCGAACTGAATTCCGGGCTTGGCACCACCGACAGAGCCGCCGTTGGGAGCAAAGCTGTTGGGGCCGTTGGCGCTAAGAGTAACGGAGCTCTTACGAGCGTGATCAGGCGCGCTTCCGTTCATATTGTTGGCGGAAGAGCCGTGGGCGACTGCTGGGGCAGCAGGCACAGCAGGTGTGATGGGAGGACGTCCATTTACAGGTGACGGAGCAGACGGCTTTGCATTTTGCGCAGAGGAGCCACCGACCACCACAGGTGGGTTGGATCCCGTCGCAATCAGCGGCGTTGAGGCTTGCTTCTTATTCGCACCGGCAGCGGAAGCATATGAAGGAGCCGAAGTCGCAGCAGAGGGGGTGGGCGCCGGGTTGGACTGAGGGCTGGCAGTCGAAGTCATATGTGGAATCTCGTCGTGGCGCGTCTGTTCGTGAAGAAAGTAGCGTTGATGAAGAACCGTGTCGAAACGAAGCTGACGTCGGTGTCGGGAGGTGGTCGAACTGCGGCAACTGGAACGATCGCTCGGATACCGAATCTCAGATTCGACTGGGGGTGCTGTGACGGATCGCAGAAATTCAATAATGAATGACTGTGTCAAGAAGAACTTGAAGAGAAAAAATTCCTCGCAAAGTGATGGATCGGATCGGATCGATTCGGAGGGGGCGAAGTCGATTCGGTCCAAAAGGTGGATGCGGGAGGAGAGATTTTTTGTTGTTGCGGGAGTGCTCGTGGATTCCTTGACGGAAGGAACGAAATATCGCTAGGCGATTGGGGGTGGAGAGGGGGGCAACAAGGTCTGTCTGCCTACGCAACGGGTCTTGGAAGAAACCAAATAAAGGTGTTCCTTTGACCGGCGAGTATTGCAGAGGAGGGAGAGTCGTCTTCTGAAGGGGAAGCTACAGAAGAAACTGTCGATACGGAAAGGGTCTCTGGTGAGGAAAAATTATTCCACCTGGACCAGTTTCGGTGTTTGTGGTAGGTTTGGAAAGAGAAACGACCAAAAAAATTTTGGGCGACGAGATATTATGGCGTGGATCTGGGAGTGTGAGTGGGAGGGAAGGACCCAGGAAAAAGGTACATTGGCTTAAGTACCTCCTCATAAGCCCGCGCCGCGCCCACACCCGAATCAGACCTTTTTACCCATTCACTCGCTCGCCCTCACCTTCCATGGTACAGATGAAAGTCTATGGCACTGAGGCTTGGGTTCCTCCGTAACCACCTCGGGCCCTTCAGGTAACCATCCTCCTCTTGAACAGCCGACCGTACCTTTGCCTCATCTCACCTTTCTCCGATGAAAGCTGACACCTACCCGTGAACCGACCTACTTATTCACTGCCCGAGGCGAGACCTTTTCACTCAGGCGAGGTGAACGACCCTCCTTCCTAACCTTCCTACCCCAGTGACGAAGGCCCCGGCCTATCCTTTTTGGCGGGATGACAGTGCGTCGCCTACCAAATCGCTCGCTTATCAACACGGTATCGGACCCGCAATTGCCACGCACAAAAGACAGTGTGGATTCGCGGAAGGGACCTTCGATTTACGGTTCACGGTTTACCTGTGCCTCACCTGCCTATCGCTACTAAGGTAGGTTTGCCAGTCTCGTGGCTTATCACCATTGAGATACGTAGTACCTTAGCTTAAGGTACCTTATATGGGCAGCAAAAGCAATTATTCATCACCTACGGATACCTTGGGTAGGTAGGTTCCTTAGCCATCACCAGGTTGGCAACCTAAAGTTGAGGCACCGTTGACGGCCAACCCATCCAGCCTTATTTTGTCGCTTTGCTTCATATTGAAGTTGACTAATATTTCAATTGCTAGACTGCGCCACACGTTGTCTTTGTCAATTGTTTCGCAGCCTAGAAAGGTGCAGAGTATTCTCGGGTCAGGCATGTACCTTACTCTATACATTGAGATTAATTCTCTTGGGCAATGCAGGCACAAAGAATGCACAAATGGTGCCTGGCTGGCTGGCTGCTTCGCCCCTGCCTCCTTCCGCATGTCTCGTTTGCATGCAAGCCCATGATCGAGTTATGTGGCAATGATGTTGATACAGAATAGAGGGAAAGGATGCACAAGGTTGAATGTGGTAGGCAGGGAACGAGATATTAGTCCATCCGTGATTCTGGCAAGTCCAAATCATCGTCTCGCGAGCATCATCTCAAGACGACCTGGTGTTGACATGGTGCCTAATTGGGGCCCTCTTAGTGGAAGACGAAAGCAAGTGCGATTATCGTCCCTCCGACGCGCCGGGTGTTGGGTCTGATTACTTGCATACCTTTCCCCAACTTCCCGCTCTACCTGGGCCAGACTCAAGCGCACTTTAGCTTGGGGTACATGGAGATACACCTGACTGATACAGACCACGGAAGGGCACGCACCATGTTAATTCCAGGTTATTACCTCAGGTTGTCCTCACTCACCGGACAGCTTGAATGAATACTTACGACATGAAGGAGGCACAGTGGCACAGTGGTAGCAGATGTGTTGATTTACGGAGATAGATGCTGTGGACCAGACCCTTGCTCTTCTACAACCTGGGCAGCAACCTCCAGGAACCTTTCCTTGGTTTTTTTTTTTTTTTTGTCATTGTTTTTTCTGTACAGATGCTACTCCTTCCCACTCTCGCTTCCTCCATCAGCTCCCCCTCTTGCAGGAACCTCCACCCGGCCAGCCTACCTCAGGGCTGCTGTACAGAACATCGTGAAACTCCGGTGTTCGGCACCTGTCGGCAGGCTGTGTGGAAGTGCGATTTTCCAATGCCAAGCGGTGGAGTCGAGAAAGTCTTCCAGCTGCATTCTTCGGGATGTCCAAGTCTTTCCACAGGCAGCTGAAAATTGGAGAAAGGGTATTCAGTAAGAAGGCCATTATCAGATGCCCAGGTCGGTTGATAGGCTCCCAGACAGCCGAACAACCAAGGTTCCTGACGGAGATGGCTCGACCCTCCAGTTGGGCCCCTCCCTCTGGCATACGTGATTCATCTGGAGGTAGGCCGGGTAGGGTAGAGTTGGGGTTGCACTACAAACTGCCTCACACTCTTACCACGCAACAACGCAAGACTAGTAAGATGAGAGGTGTCCCGTTTGCTTGCTATTTTTTTTTTGGGGGGGGGGGATGGTTCCCATACCAAACTCGCACCTTGCTGGGCTTGCAGCTGGCAAAACGCACTGCAGACATAGACACGAATGCCGGCGACGTCCAGCAAGTGACGAGTGCATCTTGGCTCAGGCGCGTGCATCTGCATCACTACGCCATCAAACACCAGCTACGCGGCTGCAATATGCAGCTTTGGCGCCTGCCGTGACTGTACCGGTTGAACATACAGCAAAACACACATATATGCAATACCCTCGCCGGTGGTCAACGCGGCCTCTCTTATTTCTCTTCCCCTCTCTTGGCCCTTGGGACAAAAAAAAAAAGGGCGCAATAGTGGCCACGACTATTGGAAGCTTCTGCAGCCATACCTCGAGAAAGGGCACAAACCACATACCTAAACCCTGACCTGGAAACCCGTAGCGAGTTTGCGCCTATCGGACAACGAATCTTCCATTTTCCTCCTCTCTCTTGCCTCCTACAAACAAGTTCGGCAATTACTTGTAATTGCTATGAGAGTTGCAAAAGAAGGGGGGCACGGGGGGATTTAATTTGGTTCTGAATGTCGGTTTCAAACACTGACCCTTGTCTCCCGAACAAGGAGCCAGAATGAACGCAGAGGCGAGCAAGGCTGGACAAGGGCCATCCCAAACATCCCTACCCTGCCCGAGCTCGTACCCCTGCAGTTGCCCGGCGTCGGAGCGAGGCTGACACGTGCGTTTTGTCTTTTTTTTTTCCTCTTTTTTTCTCTGGTTTTTTTTTTTTTCCTTCCCACCCCTGTAATTGGCATGCTCTTCTGCCATGGGGTGCTTCCAGAGAATCCAGAGTGCCTATAAGGGTACCTAACCTTAGGGGCAGTGTCAATCCAAGAGCAATTATCGTTGCTGATATTCCGTACGGTAATGTCATTCCTCAACTCCTGGCACTCCAGAGAGGACTGTAAGGTCGGGTCGGCTCATGTCACTCGCGCGAAGCCAGGGCAGCAATTCGTGCAACATCACGGCAGGTTGCAGTACTATTTTTTTTTTCTCGTACAGTTGCCACTGCGAATCAGTGCGGGAGAATCCAACACCACTCAGGACGAGGCGAACGTTCCCGCGGCCCCATCCCTCCCGGAAACCTAGCCAACCACTCAACTCGTTCACATGCGGCGGCGTCGCCTCCGGAGTCTTAAGTCCGACGGTTGACATACGACTGACATACAGAGAAGGCGGGCCGCGATTCGAATAGGCCTGCCTGCCTGCCTTCAGCTGTCCACAGCAATCGCGAAAGCTCCCAGTCAGTTCAGAATTCCGGGCTGCTCACATCCAAATGCATACATGGACTAATCGAATCGCTTTGGCTCTCTTCTGATGAGTCGACGGCTTCACGGTGACTGGTGTGGCAATACCAGCACTGTCTGGCGGATCGGCAAATCTTTTCCCATCAATCACCCATCGCACGCGTCAACGCGTAAAGGAGCGCAACATGGGTTCATGCACAGTGGATTTGATGAGATGGGATTTCCGGGGAGCATTTTGTACCCTGTCGGCCTCAACGTAATACGTGGGATCTGCCGAGTACATTCTCTCACTCAGGTTGAGGTAACCCCCCCATTCGCTTAGTAAACCTGGAAGAGAACACGACCTACCTTACACCATGGCTTCCAACGCCGAGAGAAAAGACGACGCTGGCTTCCTTAATGCTTGCTTCAAACTTGTGTACAGAATACGCAAGCCACGCACGGCATGCATCCGTGGGGCAAATCGAGTTTGTGCTACCTCATGCTATGGGTTCATATGGGCGTGCCACGGCACAGGAGTCATCTGGAAGGTCTAGAACAGTGATAAAGTGAGCCCCCATGAGTAGCCTCATTCCTTCCTTTAATTGAGTGCATGGCATGGCGTGGCGCGACACGGGTCGGTCGTGTCGTGTCGTCAACCTTCACTTCCCTCACCCAGCCCTTTGCCTGCTGACATAACCTTCAAGAATCTGCTTCAAGTCCATCGAGCATGGCAAACTCTTTGAGTAGCACATCTCGACTCAGCTCTTCATGGTTCATGGCTAGTAAAGACCAATGCTGGCCCGAAAAGTGGCAACACGCGCGCGTGTCAGACGCGTCCTCCCTCCAATCGATTGGGCTTCATTCGATCCGCCTTGAACGTCAGACGAAGAAAAGGGGGGACCTGTCGTCGCCGCGGCTTCAAGCTTGTACCCCGTCCAGTAATCCCACTCTAATGGATACAGACCTAAGGCGAACGCAGACAAGCCTGCGTGCCTGCGTAAGTGAGACGGAACTGAACTTGAGGAAGAGAAATGAGGATGCTGGCGGAGCCCAGTGCCTGCCTGAATGTGCCCAATGTCTGAATTACAAGCTTCGTCACCCGTGCACCCTCGCCTATTCCCTCCCATCCAGACGGAAGAAGTCTCATGTTTCCCTAATTGCAACTGGACTCCTGGATGGGGGTAGCGCGAGCGCGCTGACGGGCGGGAGCACTATTTTAGGGGCGGAGAGCAGTTCACTTTGCGCCAAGCAAGTTTGGGGCGACGCTCGTCTTTCTTGTGTTGCCTTGGTTGCCTACCAGTTAATTGGTCCCCTTTCTCCTGCTCTCTCGGAATCTGGCACCTGGTTTCCGTCGTCGTAACGCTCCGTTTGCCACACCATCCGTTAGATTTTCCCGTCTCTGCTTGGCTTGGGTACTTGGCCAACTCACCTCGCTTCTCCCAGCTGCCAAACCCGCAGCCTCACGCCAAGTGAACAAGTCTCTGCACCATGACACGCAGACTCAAAAAGGCAGGCAGACACTCTGATGTTTGACTCATAGCGGATATGCAGTCACTCCATCCAAAACAGTCAAATAAAAAATTCCCGAATCCTTCAGGTCTCTGCGAACTTTGCCCCTTCCACCCGTCCCTCTTCTACCCATACGCCAATGAGACCCCAGAGACTCGAGACAAAGCCCGACAGCCCACTGCGCCGTTGCCGTCCGCCGCCGCCAGCGACTTGCATGTATGCCGCGCTCGTGAGTCTTAGCTGACCTGACGTCTTCCCTGCTGGCCCTTCTCTGCAGCACCAGGGCTGCAGTGGTTGTCGTCACCGTACATAACGTGCGGACCCCGGACAGCCGGTGCTTACTGGCTGCTTGGGCTCTGGACTTCTAGCTACCCAAAGTAGGCAAGGTACGGTCGGGCAGGTAGGTACACCGGAGTACATCGCGCAAACTAAAGATCGAAACCATCCAGCCAACGGGCCAACGGCGCTGCGTATCTGGTGTGTTCCCCCCAGGCACTTGCTAAATATCCTATCCAGTTTGAGGACGGCCAAGAGGGAGGGGGAAAGGGGACAAAATAACCTTACACCACTCCTGCTCTGCTAACTCAGAAGAAGAGGTCAGCCAGGGCCGGTCGATCGTCGGTCCATCAAAGACAAACATCCCAACCATCTTTCCAGAATGGCCGTTGAGTACCACACCGGAATCACACTCAGCTCTGTGCACAGGCTCAGAGAATCACAATCAAGTCTTTCCACGGGGCAAAAGGCACAGTATAGTACAGCAGAGTTGCTTCAAATGTCCTGCTCACCAAGTCCTTCGCCTGTCTGCTGTCAGATCTACCGATCCTAGACCCGTAACCAATGTAGAAATGAGCCATTCCCATCATTATGTTTTGCTGGTTGACCACCGCTTAGGGTCGTCATTGTATCTCATCAGTGCGGCTCGCCATACTTGCTCCTTACTCCTCTGCTTCCTCAGGGGCCTTCTCCTCGGCATCGTCTCCCTCTTCTTCCGCCTCTTCCACGACTTCCAGCGGAGTCTCCAGGATCTCCATCTCACCACCTCCGGCTATCGTGCCCTCTGCTTGCAGCTGCTTAACTTTCGTGTTGGTCATTTGGTACACGTACTGCCCAAGATGCTCCACTCCTTCCATGCAAACCTCCCCGGGGACCTCAGCCTTGATATCTTCAGTAGCAGGCCTCTCTGCTGGGTAGAGCTCACCCGTGACAAGCATGAGCTTATCAGGTCGAGCCAAGAGCTGGTCGAATGCTTGCCGCAGCTCATAGCAAGCCTCGAAAATCTCACGACGACCAAGGATGTACAAGCCGAGACGCGCGCGAGAAAGCGCAACCGTCAAACGACGGATATCACGAAGGTATCCAACCCTTGATGTACGGGTCAACGACAGAATAATATCTATAGAACAGTCAGCTTCCCGTACGGACCCTTCGTCCTGAGCACCTATGGTAGAAACTCACAGTCGTTTTGCTCGCCCTGGTACTTGTCCACGGTTGTAACAATCTTGGGCATACCAAAGATCGCCTTGGCGGCGCATCGGTGGGCCAAGACGTCTTTCACCAGGGCTCGCTGGCCGGCGTAGGTGGTCAGGATGCTAATCTTCGATGCTGGGTAGCCTAGAAGACGCATGTATTGGTACACAGCCACCGCATACTCCGCCTCTCCGAGGTTTTGAATGAAGTGGGGGGTTGGCTCCGTTTCTCCACGTCCTTTATAGTCAGGCACATTGATGAACTGGTAATCGTACTTGAAGCCAGCGTTCGCCACAGAATACTCGCCTTCGCTGGTCACATGCGGCAGGTTGCCCAGCTTGGGGTATCGCCACTGGTAGAGACTGGCGATGGACGGTCGTGCTCTGCCTTGCTGGTCCAGGTTGATAGTGGGCACACCAAGGCGTACAAGTCGCGAGAACAGCGACTGTTCGAGATTCGCGTAGTGCCGGAATGCCATACTCTGGATAACTGGAGAGTTCTGGAAGTGGTCACCACAAAGAACAACTCTCTGCAGACCCATCTGCCCCTTCTTTGGTTTTTGCATGGCCAAGGGGATGAAGTTTTCAATCTCAGTGATTTGAGCGGCCTCCTCCATGACGACATTGTCATAGTGGAATCCAAGTGCAGCGATCTCTCCACGCCTCATTGCTGCATGGGTAGATGTCATGGCAATGATACGTGCTTCGTTGGTCAGCAGATAGTTGGCCTTGTCTTTGTCTCGGCGTAGAATTTCAAATGGCATGGCGTCGGCCAGTTCAGAAAAGATCTTTGCAATGTGGCGGTAGCACCCGGTGGCAATATCAAGGACGCTATCCCTGTCGGCCTCGGGTGGGAAGAGAGGCTGCGGTGCATCAGAGAAGAACTGATGAAAGGGGAAAGCGCCGACAATATCAGCAGCCGAGACCTCCTCAGCCTTTGTGATTTCTGTGAACTTGGTCCAGGCTGGGGCGATATACACTGAGTTGAAGTAGCCGGCGGTTTCTGCAGAATTGCCATGGGCACCAGGCGCGTTAATGCTAGCGGCCAGACGGTTGACCTCCAGCAGATATCGGTCTCGGTTTTCCAGGAACGATTCGACACGGCCATGCTTGCTGAAACTGCCTTCTGTGTAGAGTTCTTCTTCACCATGTCCCAGACGAAGTAGATGACGGGCATCAATGTCCAAGGCCACAATTTTTGCGAACAACTGGTTGAGCGCCTGGTTGCTGTGTGCAATCAAGAGCGTCTTCTGCTCCGGAAAGTTGTGATAGATGTTGTTGATAACTTGCGTTGCTACATCTGTCTTCCCCGTTCCAGGAGGACCCACGATGACTGTGAGACCAGGTTGCGTTCCTGATGTAATCGCTTCTATCTGTGCCGGAGTGAATCGCACCTTGTTCAGCTTCGGCGCATCGATAAGATATGGGCCAGAATTTGGTGGCTTGTAGGTCGATACCTTCACGGTCTCTACCTCGGCCAGTAAAGAAGGCTCGATGTCCCGACGACGCTTCTTGGATGGCTTTGATGAGGAATCAACGGCTTGGCGCTCGGCGGTTTCCAACACATAAGGAGGGCCAAAGCTGCCAGAAACATCGTCACTCGGCTCTACAATCTTGCCTGGCAAGCTCCCAGTAAGATGTTGCCAATCCAAGAAAGTGTCGCGGTAGTCGATTGTCTTGATACGGTTCGGTAACTGCTTGTAGGTTGCACCAGCAGGGTCGCCGTAGCCGAGGAAAACCTCATGGAACCACGAAGCAATCGGGACCTCTGAGAGCGTTAAGCTGCGAATGGATTCCAACACGGGCTTGAAATTGTTCTCCCTTCCGCTGCGCCGCATGATAACATTGATCCGTTCGTAGGCCTCAGGTGGACTTGCAGATGAGCGTTCGGCGTCCGCCGCATATGTCCTGGGATCCAGTCTCAACTGGAATCTCCGACGACTGTCGTAGTGCCCTGAACCATCTCGAACCACTTTGCCCTTGTCATCAGTGATTTGAATGATCTCGGCGGATCGAATTGAGATGACGCCAAGCTTTTCAGTTTCAGAATGTGCACCATCTCCATTCGTGGCACTTTGGGAGGCAGGAGTCTGAATGGCCAAGAGAAAGACGACATCGTCTGGTCTCAGCGAATCCCATTCGCGCTTGATGCCATCGTTCAGGCGGCGGACGTCAATAGAGATTTCTGCCCGAACCAAGGACGGTTTGTCGTCTCCTACAAGGGCAGGCACAACTTCTAGGATTGAAGGTTTCGAAGTCGGCAAGGCCATCTTGGAGAATCCTTGGAAGCTGGTTTCGCCCGGTCTCCGGCTTTCAGGTCGAAGACGACGAATGGCGGACTCGACATCTTTCCTAATTCCATAGAATGACTCGGCCCGGTATAAGACGAGTGATCTCCAGAGGAAGTCGCCAACTGACAGGTACTGCAAGTTCAGTTTTGGCAAAGCCAGAGGGTGGGAACCGTCATAATTCTCGGTTCTCATTACGTTGTTCTCGAACAAAGATTGCTCCGTAGGGACCAACGCCATGTTGCGAGCGATTTCTTGGAAGGTTTTGCGCCGTTCAAATGTGGTGAGAAGCACTTCCAGGAGAAATTTCCTGTCGACACTCACCGCCAGCGAGTCGGGATACGTTGTCCGAAGGCGAAGCAATCTTGCCAATTCCACAATCTCGTCGTCGGTCAGGGGCTCCAGAAGGCCAGCGAGTTCATCTCTCTTGTCGATGGAGCCATAGTTTGACAACGCCAGCACAGTGAGTTTTTCCTTGAAATGCTTCAATGAAGTTTTCTGAAGCCTCGACAAGTTTGCGCAGTGTTTGTCGTATGCTTCTGTCCGGCTCAGCTGTGCGCCTGTTTGGTCATCAATCGTGAAAAAGGTGTAATGTCTGAGCAGCGCATTCAGATCCCGCAGAAGATTGTTTTCCTCGTCATTGAATACAGGGGACAGGCGCATGGCAGGGAAGACATGGAGGTCGAGTAGGAGGGTATTGACGTATCGTCGAGTAGGGAGCTGGCTTTGCAAGTCTGTCAGGAACTCGACAAAACGCTCGCAGTAAAGGACTTGGTCTAATCTATGTCAGCCACGCGGTCCTCCAGCTAATCATACGGCATTTGCTTACCTGGCTTTGCGTTCTCTGTATAAATCAAGCTGAGGAAGTGCAAGACCAAGCTGTACAGCCATGATCGATCAAACCGCAACTTTGCCTTCGTGGCGTCGTCGGCAGCGTCGTATCTCTTTCCTGCAGCTCGCCACGCCTTTCTCACATGCGCGTGCTGCTCGAGCTTCTCTTCACGCAGTTCTTCGGTCGACAAGCTGTGCCATATCGAAATGGAGACCAATGGTGCGCACTCTTTCCGCACAATCGCGCAATCTAAGCTCTGAAAGGCTGAGATCAAGAATGACAACAGGTGTGTCCGGATCGCTGGTGACAGTGTTTGGTCGAGAATCAGAGACAGGACTCGACGGAAAAGGCTCGAAAATTCGTCTGGTCGATCCTCGAATATGCTCCATGCCTCGAGTTGTTCACGGCGCTTCACGTTTGCCAACAGGACCAACAGTAAGACATGATGGTTGGAGGAATCGTCGGAGTATCCGGGCCAAAGATAACTATGAGACGTCAGAGTCAGCAAAGATTAAAGATCAGCGCAACGAAACACACCTCTCGAGAGTCTGCAAGCTCTCCAGCGTTAAGATGGACTTATACGGGAAGCCATCACGTTCCAAAACATCCCAAATCTCTTGTTTTAAAACATCGTTCTTGACCTTGACCTTAGCCGCCCTCTTGCTCCTTGTCGTCTTCAGCCAGTGCTTCTTTGCCAGTTGAGAAAATGCGCTCTCTCCCTCGATGTCGGCAACCGTCGGACGGTCACTGGTGGCCTTTGTTTGGGATCGGGTCGGCGGCGCCGCTTGAGCCTCGCTGCTCTTCTTCTGCCTCTTGGCGGTCGGCATCGTTCAATTCAGCGTCGAACAAAAGGCAATGCCAATATGCGCGATTGCATGCTGGTGAGAAAAAGACAAGGTGGGTATCGATTCGCTGGGGAAAATTGGATGCGCAGGCGCGCAATTGTTTAAAGTGACGAAATGCAGAGCTCGACCACCTTAAAAATTTCAGCCTTGCTTTTTGGGCAAGTCGCAACCTCTCTTAGATGGAGGTGAGTTGGCTGAGCTGAGGTGCAGGTCCCCCACGCGACGAACCGACGCGATCAGTCGCTGTTTACAGGTCCGGTAGTGGCACCTGAGTGGTGAGGTAACCACGCAAGTGCTGTAAGGTAAAGAGCGGGTGGCACTTAGGTACCTGAGTAGGCACTTACCTACGAATAGGTAGTCCAGCGCTTCTACTACGTACAGTGGCAGCAGCCAAGTGGACCCACTCAGATACCATGTCACATTTGCTCGTTGTTTGCTGCGGTACCTATGTACGGACCTCAACTGAAGCTCGAATTATCGTTGAATCTTTCAATCAGCAGCCTTGCGCATCACGAACACGTTTTCCACAGCGAACGCCTTCGCAACTCCTGCACAAAACATAGGCGAAACTCATACGACCGACCGAATCTCCCGCCACATGGCACATGTAGCCAAGCTTTCTGCGCTTCTGTCCAACTAAGCGCACTCCTTCGACTGATTGCAAGATGCCGGCCGCCGTCACGCCTCAGCGCCATGAGGTGCCCGGGGTCGTCGCTTTTGCTAGATTGCTGGACGAGCTCCTAGCTCGCTCTATGGGTGTGAAATCTACACCGACTATTGAACCCGCATTGCAAAAGGCAGACTTTGGCGACCTGCAAGACCAGCTTGCTCGTGTGCTTGCGACTCCAGGGACCTCAGAGGAGAACGGGACTGGCATTGCGATACAGAACAAGGCCCAGCAGTTTGCCATCATCGAGACTGCCGTACGAGACATGTTCAGCAATTTGATTGTATGTCGAACTCATAATCCTAGCCGGACATCAACTGATTAATTAACAACCTGCTTCTCTAGGCCACCACGCCCATCGAATCCCCGGATTTCGTCAAGGTCTGGAACCTGTTCGACCTCCTAACCGTGCTCTCCGATGACGAAAAATGCGATCCGGCCCTGCTATTCTGGCTAGTCGAAGAACTCCTGGACAGCCAGACGATCGCCGGATGCCGCAAGATCTTTGACTTCCTTGAGTCGCGGCGCGAGAGGATCACCGTCAAACATTTTAAGCAAAAGCAATTGGTGATCCTTCGCAGCTGTAACGAACTCCTTCGACGTCTCTCTCGGGCTGAGGATACTGCTTTCTGTGGTCGTGTCTTCATCTTCATGTTCCAGAGCTTTCCCTTAGGCGACAAAAGCTCCGTGAACTTGCGAGGAGAATACCACACCGAGAACGTCACTGTTTTTGACGATTTGAATGCCAAGGCCGAGGAAATCCCCGAGCAGATGGACGTGGACAGCCAGACGGGGGTGAAAGGAACAGAAGTAAAACCTCAGCCAAAGGCTGTTTCGTTTGACGCGAAGAAGCCAGTACAAACTGATCAGCCGCTCGAACCCGATGCACTGTACCCCCTGTTCTGGTCCCTACAGGAGACTTTCAGCCAGCCCAAAAGGCTATTCGATCCAGCCCACTTGGTGGAGTTCAGACGCGGTTTAGAAGCAACGATGACATCTTTCCGAGCGATTCAAACCGAGCAGGGTCAGCGACCACCTAAAGCGGTAGATGAGGCCCAACGAGGTTTCAAACGGAAACGAGCAGATGTGGAAGAGAGCGACTTGGCAAACTCATACAACCCCAAATATCTCACTAGCAGAGATCTGTTCGAACTAGAGGTGAGCCGGACGAGATTGCGCCATGTGACATTTGAACTAACCGTCCTAGATGAGCGACATCTCTTTCCGCAGACATATCCTGGTTCAGGCATTGATCATAATGGATTTCCTTCTCTCGCTTTCCCCCAAAACAAAGGAGAAACTAGCCGGCAACGCCCAGAACAAGTCGGTGCTCTATCTGGGCCAGGTCCTCAGCGAAGAAGACGTAAGTGATTTCATTATTCCCGTGACCATTAGCAACTTAAGCTGACCTATAGACAGACGAAGTGGGCAACAGAGATGAAGAAGACCATTGTCGACAAATACCTCAAGCATGGCGTCGACGGTCCTTATTTCAGTCGAATGGTCGAAACGGTCCTTGCCAGGGATAAAAACTGGATCCGCTGGAAATCGGAGAACTGCCCGTCAATAGAGTTGCCAGCAGTGTCTCCAGAAATATTTGACGACGCCAAGAAGGCAGCCCAGCGTACGACGACGAAAAAACGACTGAGGTCCACGCCAATGGGCTCTTTGTCCCTCGGATTCTTGGATGACGGCGATGACGAGCGTGCGATGAAGAAGCTCAAGGCTACGGAAAGATACAGACTACCAGAGCTTGAGAGCTTCAAGCGAAAAATTGCCGATGACGACTTTGAGATCGATATGCCGACAAATAATCAGACCAAAGCGGCTGCTATTGAAAGCAAAGCAAGTAAGAGTTGGCGCGCTCTCCGGATAGCAGGCAAATCGAGGCTGGCTTTATTCGACAAGATTGACGACCCGGAGAAGATTGACGCCGTGTTTGAGGAACCGGTCGATGTAGACGAGAGTGAGGCTGCTGAGGAAACTGTAAACGCTGAAAACATTCCCGCAGATAAGCGGCCAATCATACTCTCAGGACCACCCGGTGCAGGGAAAACGACGCTTTTTCAACTCCTCGCGAGTCGGCGTCCTGGAGCTTTTACACATGTGCCCCGGCACACTACGAGAAAGCCACAAGAAGGCGAGGTTGAGGGCAGAGACTTCCACTTCGTTGAGAAACAGGCATTTAACGTGTTGAGGGACGGCGATGCGTTATTGGAGTTTACCACGATAGATGATGTGGACTATGGCACGAGTCGGAAGGCTGTGGAAGCAGTCATCGAAGGGGGCAAGGTTCCAGTCGCCTACATGGACAGCGAAGTAAGACACATTTACCACAACTGACGACTGGATTTTCACTAAATGAAGCATAGGCTATCCAGCAAACTCGCGACCTTAGCTACTCGGCACGGACAATTCTCATACTGCCACCAAGTAAAGAAGTTTTGGAAAAACGCTTGCAAAAGGCGGAGAATGGCGATTTAGCTGCGGACGCCCTCAGCAAAGCTGCTCCTTACTGGGAAGAAGATTTGAAGCTAAGGGACGGTTTTGATTTGGTTCTTACCAACGAGGAGCTCGATGCTGCTTTCAAGATGCTGGAGGACCACATCTATGGCAAAGCTGAAGAGGCGAAGCTCACCAATGGCAAGGCAGAGGTCGAGGCGGCAGATGAAGCGGATACGGCCATGGCCGATGCACCGCCAGAGGCACCGCAGGAACCACAGGAAACTCAAGAAGTCAAGGAAGCCGAGGAGACTGAGAAATCCGCAGAAGCCCAGGAGACAGACGACACAGTCGACGACGGGAGGGCTGACGAGGCAAAGGAGACGTCTTAGGGAGGTAGATCTCCGGCTAGCCGCAGCCGAGAGTTTAGGCGCGCGTGTTCACCTAGACCTAGAAACTGGCCTGCCTCTTGGACTAGATATTGGTAGAGATTCATGATACCCAGATATTTCAATCATCTCGACTGACCCCGTCTGTTCTACTCACCCGGAACTTACTTGAGAGCAATCAAAGGCGGCTTATCATTCTCATCACCATACTCTTCTTCATTACGCTCACCCGAATATGCATCACAAGATCTTCTCAAAGCGGGTATTCCTGATGTTCAAGGGTCCTCAAGGCCCCATCAAGAACTTTGTAACACAGGACAGCCCTCACCCAGATAGGACAGGTGGCGTTCTTCAAGTCCAACATCAATACCAGAAGATTATATTACTGCTATCCGCCGCCACCCGGGCAAGATCTATGTACATTCTGATCTCTTGCACCGACAGCCCGTGGGCTCCGGCGTCCTCGCCCTCAAAGTAGCCGCGCTAAGGCCCCTGAGTAACGGCAAAGATGTTGCCCAATAGGCCCTTGAACTTGCCGTTCCGCCATCCCTCCCACTCATGATCCATGGCACCCCACGTCTCGTCGAAATCAACCACCTTGTTCCGCACGTAATACGACCCCTGAATCGCCCACAGCGCCCAATCCGCATCGTTGCTTTCGAGGTACCCTACAAGGCAGGTGAGATACGCGTGCTCCTCGGCCGACAGCCCGTCCTCTGGCCCGCCCTCCATGGCGGCCCCAAACTCGGACAAGAACAGCGGGCCGGTATACCCCTTCCCTTGCTCCAGCACGAAGCCGAACAGGGCGCCGTACTCGGCCCTCTCGATGTCGCAGTCCCCGAAATTCGGCGTCGTGACCGTGAAGCTGTAGCTGTGCGCCTCCCACACGTTCTTCCCCTTCCACGCCATGGTGTCGAGGCTCTTGGTCCGCAGCGGAGAAAAGTCCGTCGCCGAGTTGAGCCCGCCGACGATGACGAGCACGTCCGGGTTCGCCTCGTGGACGACGTTGGCTCCGCGCGTCACGTAGCCGTACCACTGGTCCGCGGCAAAGGGGATCTGCGTCCACGTCGCGCGCAGCTCGTTACGCAGGGACACGGCGGCGACGCCGGGTTTCGTCTTGGCCCAGAGGCTCATCTGCTGCAGGCCCGCGAGCCAGTCGTCCGTGTCGAAGAAGCGCGAGTTGGCGGCCCAGTAGAAGCGCGCGTCCTTCCACCAGCCGTTGCCGTCGTCGAGGTTGCAGCACCAGGACGCCTTGCTGACGTGATTGTCGAGGACGGTCATGATGTCCCGCTCCCAGAGGACGTCGATGACCCTGCCAAAGACGTCGCGCTGCGTCACATTGCCGTCGCTGAGGAACGGGTTCTTCCCGACAGCCTGGTCGTAGAGCTTCAGGAGGTCCGCTTCGGGCACGCCGGCTGCTTTGGCGCCGTTGACGAAGGAGTCTCGTACAGTGATGCCCGGGTTCGTGGCATGGTCTGTCGAGAAGGTAAGGCGCACGCAGTTGAAGCCCTCCTGCTTGATCCAGTCTGCCAGGTACTCGATCGGTTGTTTGTGAAGGCCCTCTGGGAGGTTGACCTCCATGTGGCCGGCCCAGTTGATGCAGCGGAGCTTGACGCGGGTGTTGGAGGAGTCTGTTATCCAGCGGGATGTAGAGAAGAGCGGGAGTTGTGGCTTTTGAGCGAGGGCCGGAAGGACAAGGGACCAGACGGTCCAGAGAATGAGGACGAGCTTCATGATGGCGTATCTGATATGGGTGGTGTAAAGACAGTGCTCCTGCTATCAAGATGCTATTATGACGTCCTACGAGCCGAGTTCTACCTCTAGATCGCTACGATCGTGTGTCAATATAGGGATACTAGACAAAGCTCTAGTCTTGCAGGCGTCACCAAGCCAGACAAACGGGGATGGCCAAGCTCGGTGCTACTAAGTAGCCAAAAACAGAATAAAAACGAGTGGTATGATTTGTGCGGGCAAATGGCGATCAAGTATGAATCATCCTGATCTGCCAGTCTACACAGAAAGTGTCGACCTCTGGATGTGAAAGTTCACAAGTCCACGAGGACGTCGCGATGGAACCTCGAAGAAGAGCAGCTGAGGTTCCAAAGAGACAGGCGGCGACTGACTACCTGCAGACCAGACAGAAACCGCGACATAACGTCGGGGAGAAAACTCGCCCTTGTTCGAAGGTGTGGGTGATTCGACGAGATATAATCATTCAAGACGCGCTGATGGCCAGCACGCGACCCTACCTGGCCTCCCCATTCAACATTGCTCGTAATCTGTAGCCCACTAGACGAAGATGTGCAGGTTGCAGGCTCATTAGCCTTGCACAAGATCTCATCGGACCCAAAATTTCCTTCCATTGCCAATTCCCCCTCAGTCGAAGAGCGCCACTGGAATGATCTTGAGCGGTGCCAGGCAAAATATGC